ATTAACTTTCCATCCAAACAATGTTGGTGCTTACTCCTTCGCCACTTGGATATCCTCCTCTCTAGTCTGGAAACCCAGAGGATCTTCAATGAGAAACCCAGTGTGATCTACAGGTGAGACCAAAATCTAAAATCTATAGTTATCACTAAGCTGAATCCTGGCAATCCCCACAGCGATCCTTTTGGGATTTAGGAATGCTCCAGGACTAGATCCAAAAGATGTCTATTCATTATCCAGACTTCATCTGTCAGTTTCCCAAATGTTTCTTTCCAGATTAAGGACAGATTCACGTGTGAATCCTGAAACTTAGTCTATGCTATAATCTGTGAAAGATGCAAAAAAAAAGAAATATACTCGGGAAATGGGCAGGGAGCTAGCTGATTCATTCTGTGAACATTTGAGTGATATTCACAAGGAGCCACTCAACACTCTCTCTCCATGCTAATAGTTCTGACCACAGCAACTACCCCGATATCTCCGACAACAATAAAACCTTGCTCTAATAATCAAATCACATGTTTCTCTTTGAAAAATCCCCTTATTACAGTTTAGGTGTTCTGATTCCAGAAGGTATTCATTCACAGATGTAACTGCATTGTGTGCATTTACAGCATGGCTGTGATATCTGTCTTTCAACCGACACATCTGACTTCTGCAGGCTTTTGTTGACCAGGTTAGCCTTAATGTTCTGTATACTTTAATCTAAACAATATTATTAGAATTACACTGGTTTTTTTTTTTTATGTGGTAAAGTTTATCTGTTATTGTTATTATTGTTAGTATTTTTATCCTCATTACTATTATCGTCACCACTGATATTATTGCTACTATTATTTCCACCACCACGACAACCATTACTCCCATTTTATTATTTGCTATTCTCACTTCTTCATTGATCTGATTCAGTGCACATTGTTTTGTCCTATGTTAAATGAGACAGTGAAGGACATTCTGTGTGATTCCCACTGGCACAGGAACAGAGCAATTATAGGGCGACCCATCAGCAGTGATGCTGGAACCTCAATCAACAACCATTGATCATCTTTTCCTTTATTTCAGTTATTCATGTGTGTGGGCACTGGGGGTCAGGACACTGTGTTTTTTGGTTGTTGTTGGTGTGGTTTTTGTCAGTAAAGGCTCCTGTCAAAACAACCAATTGTTCATGTGAGTCTGTGTATGTGTTGTTGTTGCTCTTCTAGTCTAAGTATGTGTTGTTGTTTCTTTTCTCCCTTATTAAGCATGTAGGTGACAGTTTAGTGGATTCATTTTTTGGTATTAGCTGGATTGCAGTCACTTCCCCCCCCCCTTTTTTTTTCATCATTTTGTGGTGACACCATATGCACATATTTAAAAGATAATTTTCCACACAACTATAGGAATTGTTTTGGAAGGAAAGGTGACAAGAAAGGGACCTGGCTCCCATTTCAAAAGTCATGACCTATGGTATTGTTGTTCAACCTTTTTTACACCTGCGGATCCATAAAAATGTTTTTCAAGGACCAGCTGACAGCCACGCAAACATGCATATACACACACATATTGTACATGGTATTTTATTTATTTATCAAACCCAGTGTGTCACAATAACAATGTTTGGCTAATGTGACATCTACTCCCGCTGAGAGGTAAGAAAATATGATAAATGTTGCTGGACTGTGATTTGTGACAGCTACTGCATGACTGAGTTGATACTTCTGCTGGATTACTGGCAAGTTCCTGCAGACTGGCACCAGTCCAAGGTCTACAAGCTAGTGAACATGGACCTAGTGAACATGGACCTAGAGAACATGGACCTAGAGAACATGGACCTAGAGAACATGGACCTAGTGAACATGGACCTAGTGAACATGGACCTAGAGAACATGGACCTAGTGAACATGGACCTAGTGAACATGGACCTAGAGAAAATGGGCCTAGTGAACATGGGCCTAGAGAAAATGGGCCTAGTGAACATGGACCTAGTGAACATGGACCTAGAGAACATGGACCTAGTGAACATGGACCTAGTGAACATGGACCTAGTGAACATGGACCTAGAGAACATGGACCTAGAGAACATGGACCTAGTGAACATGGACCTAGAGAACATGGGCCTAGAGAACATGGACCTAGAGAACATGGACCTAGAGAACATTGACCTAGAGAACATGGACCTAGTGAACATGGACCTAGAGAACATGGGCCTAGAGAACATGGGCCTAGTGAACATGGACCTAGAGAACATGGACCTAGAGAACATGGACCTAGTGAACATGGACCTAGAGAACATGGACCTAGTGAACGTGGACCTAGTGAACGTGAACCTAGAGAACATGGACCTAGTGAACATGGACCTAGAGAACATGGGCCTAAAGAACATGGGCCAAGAGAACATGGACCTAGTGAACATGGACCTAGAGAACATGGATCTAGAGAACATGGATCTAGAGAACATGGGCCTAGTTAACATGGACCTAGAGAACATGGGCCTAGAGAACATGGACCTAGAGAACATGGACCTAGAGAACATGGACCTAGAGAACATGGGCCTAAAGAACATGGACCTAGAGAACATGGACCTAGAGAACATGGACCTACAGAACATGGACCTAGAGAACATGGGACTAGAGAACATGGGCCTAGTGAACATGGACCTAGTGAACATGGGCCTAGAGAACATGGAGCTAGAGAACATGGACCTAGTGAACATGGACCTAGAGAACATGGGCCTAGAGAACGTGGACCTAGAGAACGTGGACCTAGAGAACATGGACCTAGAGAACATGGGCCTAGAGAACATGGACCTAGAGAACATGGGCCTAGAGAACATGGACCTAGTGAACATGGGCCTAGAGAACATAGACCTAGAGAACATGGACCTAGAGAACATGGACCTAGTGAACATGGGCCTAGTGAACATGGACCTAGAGAACATGGGCTAGAGAACATGGACCTAGAGAACATGGACCTAGAGAACATGGACCTAGAGAACATGGGCCTAGAGAACATGGGCCTAAAGAACATGGGCCTAGAGAACATGGGCCTAGCGAATATAAAAACCTGACAATTCACATCCCAACAACTATGGGACAACCTTCCCCTTTAAAATGTAATTCCCTGTTTGGATTCTCTAGATTCATTTCGGGCAAATAGTCCTATTACCCCCCCCCCCCCCCCCCCCCCCCCCTCCTTTCCTGATATTAGCCAGGTCTGTGAAATAAATGCACATGCAAAGCTCAGGTCCTGCAGCAAAGCCAAATATCAGAAATGAATTAACAAACCAGGACTTTCCACTGGTGTTTCCCTGGTAAAGGAAAACAAACAAGCTAACACGTAATAACATATACTAAATATTCAAGACTGGAACCGTGAATTACTCTCCTGGTAACAGACAGAAAACATCTTGGTAATCTCATGCCATGTAATTTAAATAACTTAAAATCATTTCTAGAATTCTATGGGTACAAAACAGACACAAAAATATACACCCCCAAATGAAGAACTACCACAGTAAAACAACAACAAGGATAAATTAGGAAATGGCAGAAAGCTCCTGCAGAGCATCATGCTGACATGTGTTCAAGTTGCTGACCAGTTTGCGGACATCTAGGATGATTGTCCTCACCTGCAAGAAACATTATCATTAGCCCACATGAGTCATTGTCACCTGACAGTGTTAACTTCGTTTACTTTTTTACTCATAACCTTGGTTGCCATATCAAGCAGCCTAAAACAGGTGCTAGAAACATTTCCTGGGAACGGCAGCTGTCCTGATGTTGACCACATTACTCATTTAACGCTGGTTGGTCTATACACACATGAGTCTAGCATCCATCATGTGCCCAGAGCACTAGTGGCATGAGAGGGATCCTTTGCTTACTTATTTTCCCCCACGTGGGTTCCTAAACCCCCCTCTCTATCTATCTCTCTCTCTCTCTCTCTCTCTCTCTCCCTCCATCTTTCTCTCTTTCCCTCTCTCCCCCTCCCTCCCTCCATCTCTTTCTCTCTCTCTCCCCCCCCTCTCTCTCTCCCTCACTCTCCATCTCTCTCTCTCTCTCTCTCTCTCTCTCTCTCTCTCTCTCTCTCTCGCTGCCTTTCTTGAAAGTCAGAGTTCATCTGCCTGAGAGGTTAGGAACGAAACTGCATACACATAAACCAGATCCATAAAATGGATGCACCTGTAAAACTCAAGTTTTAGAGCAAGACCAAAGTCCATAAGTGGATGAACAACCAGAACTTTCTGATGTAGTTTACAGCTGGTGAATTGTGGTGAAGAAGAAGAAGCAGCAAGAAGAAGCAGCAAGAAGAAGAAGCAGCAAGAAGAAGAAGCAGCAAGAAGAAGAAGCAGCAAGAAGAAGAAGCAGCAAGAAGAAGAAGCAGCAAGAAGAAGAAGCAGCAGCAAGAAGAAGAGGAGGAGGAGGAGAAAAAGAAGAAGATGTTGATGTTAACATCACTCACTGAGTTCCCACTGGTCTATAACACAAATATGGAGCTAGTGCCATATATAGCTAAGCCATCTCGGCTTGTATTTCTCTGGCTTCTGTTCGCTATTTGTCAATTCAATTTGCCAACTGCCAATAAGTTTTAAAGTTTATTTCTCACTTATAACATGACAAAAAATTTTGGCTGTCAACATCTCTAATCAATTTACAGTTGAAATCCTTCTCTTGAAGGAAGGACTCATTCACAGCATATTCATCATCACCCTATGTTACCAGTGCCAGACATGTCCCCTAACTACAAAGCAGATAACAAAATTAATAATGAGATATCCAAGGCTGCAGGAGTGATCACAAAAGATAAAATTATCAATTAACTCAAAAGTCAATGATTTTCACAGGCACAGGAACAAAGCAATCATGGAATGACATGTTCGCAATTAAGTTAAAACCTCATGAACTACTAGGTAGTACTGCTGAAACAATCAAACATGAAGAGCGATAACTATAAAACAATGTTCAGCACTGCTGAAAAAATCAAACATGAAGAGCGATAACTATAAAACAATGTTCAGCACTTGCCTGGTTGGTGAAAAATGGTGTCTCCCTGGGTTTCTCGCTGTATCTTTCAAACTGATCCAGATTGTCTTGTAGTTTCAGAGTCAGCGTGTCATAGTTTCCTCTCACTACTTCTAGCACCTGTGGTCACAGTCAACTGATCAGCATCGATTAACTTTCTCGCCATGTACAAATCTTAACCAATCACATTTTTTTCTTCAAATTTAATTTTTTTTTTTAAAGCATCCTTATAATTCTCTGAAACTCTATCCCAATAAACTAGAAGAGCAGAAGCAGATGAAATTCTGATTCTTAGCTTTATGTAAATATATGGGGTCGAACCTCTAGACCACTAAGTAGACAACAGGCATGAAAGCATCTGCTTTTCGGATGACACACAAAAGTATTTAACATTTCTCCAGTCACTAAATGTCTAAATCAGAAAACAAAAATTATTTCTATGTGTTGTGTCCATCACGAGTGACGAAGACCACTTTCATCCACAGTAGTAATGATCAATGATTATGAGTATAAAGGTGGCCAATTAGTCCAATCTGAGCCTGGAAAGTTCTTTAGCAGTGCAGACAACAGATGGAAGCGCAGTAAGTGTGAGATTAGCAGTATGATTCTTTCTAGTTTGCCTCCGTTTCTCTGCCTGTGCCTTTCTATGTAAAGGGAAGTAATCAAACACACACAAAACACAAATGGAGCAAAAAATTGCCTGATTTCCTCCCATTTGAACATTAAAAAAGTGGTTGTGCTCATTTTGCCACACAAAGCAATATTACATAATAAAAGTAAAGTAAAGGATATTTTTCCATGCCTTTAGGCGTATAGGGCTAGACCTATATTTTATAGACCAATTTAGACAAGATGAGTGATGTGGTCAGCATCATGCCGGCCATCTTTACTTTCCAGTATTGTACCCGTTACCTACTCAAAGCTGGGTCAACCTGGGAGTCAAAGTCATTTTTGAAAAAAGTCCGGCTCTGCCAGGGAACAAACCCACGACCTTCCAATCCACGGCGAGCATCTAGCCACTCCACCACAGCGACTCCCATTACATAATAACGATATATTTAAAATCAATGTTATCCCCAGTTGGGTATTTGAAATCAAACCCACCATGTCTGCAAACTATGCAGTCACAGCCAGTACTAAAGGTGTCATTTCTGCCTACAGTGCACTACCCACAGACACGTCAACCAAAAATAGTTAACAGCCAGAAAAACGGCTTTCTCAGGGAAGAAGATGAAATAAAATTGGCAGATAGAGGTAAAAAGAAACGGATATACAAAGAGAGACTACAGCTGAAATAGTACCAGCATGTTGGCTTCATCGATTCAATAGAACAATTAAACAAACAAACAAGGAACTTCTGTTTCAGGATCATCTGTGTTCTCTTCCTACTGTGATGTATAAGTTTGTCTTTATTTCACTAAGTCTGTTCTTATGTCACATTTCAAAAAAACAGTGACACCATTTATGAAATTGTGCCTGACTGCTTCCTGGTGTCATTTTCTGATCTTCATCTCATCTTTATCTCCACAGTAGATATTCTACTTATGCATTTCACCACTGTGGTTGAATTCCTCTTTTACCTTCTGCTGTCAATGCCTTATGGTACTGATAGCATCCTGTTACTGTGTAGATTGTGTTGAACAATTTTTTTTTTTAAATGCCAAAATATTCCCTGACAATTGGCCAATGACATGCGTTGCTCTGCGTCTCTGTTCAATATCTGCATTGCCTTTCCCATCAGATGAGACAACCTTTTATAGGTAGGTGAATACTGGCTTATCTGACACACTGATCTTCCAATAAAAAGTTTGTTGCATATATTTTACAGGACAGGCTGTTGTTGTTTTTCAATGCAAATATTATACCCTGTAGTTTGCCATTGCTTCCATTAAAGATCTCTATTTACATGTTTCATCTTTATAACCTCTTTTCTGTGTACGTTAATGTTAAGATAATTCAAATGTAGCTACAGATTTTCTCAAATTTTAGCCACAGCTGTGTGGTTGTTGTCACAGAGGTGTTGTCTATATTAATCATCTTTGGTTGATTTTTTTTTTTTTTACCTGTTCTGTTTAATTTCTGTAAACACAAAGGCAGTTGGTAAAGGAGAAAATCTTGAGAAAGCTTCTACCTGTTCTTCTGTTAGAGAGGACAGATGATTGGCAGCTGCCCAAGCATCAAGTTTTGGGGAGAAATGGTTGATAATTGCTCTGAGGAAAGATATACATAGTCACGCAATATTGAAAAACACTGAGATAAAGGCACACAAAGTATATTCTTCTTATCATCCATTTCATATTGCACTGGTAGTAAGTTTTCCCAAAGACTTCTCTCTTGTGTACTAATTACATTTGACACAAAGTTCCTCCATGCCATGACACCAAACTGTCCAGTATTTCATCTCTTGGTCTCCTTCTGTCTACGAAGGGAAGTCCATAAGTAAGTCATAAATGGTAATGGGATGGCAGGAAAATGTAGATGGTAATTTCTAAAGGTGTCATTAGGTGGCAGTAACTTGCAACTTTGTGTCTCTGTTCATTAGGTGGCACTAGGTGTTGCATGTGCAACACAGAAACAAAATGGTGACTGTACTTACGGAGTTTACCCCCAAAGAACAACTTGCTGTTGTGGGGGGGGAGGGGGGGGGGGTTCCCCTTGATTTTTATTGGGGGGGGGGGGGGGCAAAGGGGCTGCCTGCAAAGGACATTCATAAGTAAATGCTTCCTGTTTATGCTGACAAATGTTTATGCTGTAAAGCAGTGCACAGCTGGGTAAATAAAAATGTTCTCAAGGACACTCTAAAATTGTTGATGAGTTCTGATCTGGTCGTCCTGTTGAGATTGCAATAGACGTAACAATGCAGCGGGTGGGGGAGATGATTAGAGGTGACAGGCAAGTAACAGTTTACTCTGTAGCAGCTGCAGTAGCAAGCTCACATGGTTCAGCATACAACGTAACACATGGTCGATTGAAATTTTTTTTCCACTGAAAAGCCACCTTGGCGTGAGACACTTCGCAAATGATGCAGAAGTTGCATGTGAAGTGAAAATGTGGTTGAGAAACAGAGTGCAGTTTTTTGCAGCAGGTTTGGAAGGACTGATAAAACAATGGGACAAGTACATCAATGTTGGTGGAAATTATGTTGAAAAATAAAGTGACAATGTATATGTAAAAATACAACATGTTTTTAAGTTGTTATCGTCTTTAGTTTTAGTTTTTTTAAACAACCATTTGTTTACTGACTTCCTCTCGTACGTCCCCTACATCTTTTCCATTATAATGAGGTACTCCAATTTGTCCTTTTTCGTGTTCCTAATAATGTTTCACTAACTAGAAATGATGAAAGCTAAGACAGGAAGTAAATACTGAAGAGAATAATCTATTTCTTAAATTCAAACATACAAGCATGCACTCACACATAAAAACACTCCAATGGCTGGCTCTATCATTGGATAACTGTTTACAGCTCATGTATACTCTTGACACTTTACACATCTTTGATTGTTTCTACCATGTGACACATGTGACTGACTCGACTCACTGACTGACTGACTCACTGACACACACACACTCTCTCTCTCTCTCTCTCACACACTCACTCACTCTCTCTCTCTCTCTCTCTCTCTCTCTCTCTCTCTCTCTCTCTCTCTCTCTCTCTCTCTCTTATGGTCTCACACATAAATACACTGCAATGGCTGGCTCTATCATGGGATAACTGTTTATAGCTCATATTTATCTATCTTATTCCCACACACACGCATACACATACGCATGCACACACGCACGCACGCGCGCATGCACACACACACACACACACTGTATTTTCTATCACATAATTATTATTGATACATACATCTAACATTTCACACACCTAAATAGCATATATGTTATGGGAAAACATTTACAAACATACACCTGCATTTCACACCTGTACCTGTATGATCATTTCTGCCATGGAATAATTATTTTTACACACATATACATTTATGTCATACAGCTATGGAATAAACATTAATAGGAATAAACATCTGCACACACATTTAATGAAACTTTTGTAATGAGAAAAAACATTTATACACAATCTTCATGCACCTTCAATAGCTTCTGTTATGAGAAAAAACAATTATCTACACTCCTCATACACCTAAAACAGCAGAACAGAAAAGTTCTGGGAAGTAAAGGATGCCAACATCACATGTGTGATATCACAGAACCCATCATGAGAACCATCAGTAGGACAGGTGTGATATCACAGAACCCATCATGAGCACCATCAGTGGGACAGGTGTGATATCACAGAACCCATCATGAGCACCATCAGTGGGACATGTGTGATGTCACAGAACCCATCATGAGCACCATCAGTTTGACATGTGTGATGTCACAGAACACATCATGAGCCCTGCCAGCATGACATGTGTGATGTCACAGAACCCATTATGAGCACACAACCAGTCAAGTACTAATTAGTCTATACAACAATGAGCTGTGCCATAACCCCAATATATTTCCCTGCTGGGATTAGGGTTCTGTGCATCTCACTTGGCACTAGTCACTGGCTATAAATCCAAAATGCTTCTACTCAAGGATGTATGCCTTAGGCACTGAAATCAATAATGGATGCACAGTTGGACGGAAGAAGTCTTACCTGATGTTAACTAAATGGTTAGTCAGTTTGGCTGCTGATAGTCTTACCTGATGTTAACTAAATGGTTAGTCAGTTTGGCTGCTGATAGTCTTACCTGATGATAACTAAATGGTTAGTCAGTTTGGCTGCTGATAGTCTTACCTGATGTTAACTAAATGATTAGTCAGTTTGGCTGCTGATAGTCTTACCTGATGTTAACTAAATGGTTAGTCAGTTTGGCTGCTGATAGTCTTACCTGATGTTAACTAAATGGTTAGTCAGTTTGGCTGCTGATAGTCTTACCTGATGTTAACTAAATGGTTAGTCAGCTTGGCTGCTGATAGTCTTACCTGATGTTAACTAAATGGTTAGTCAGCTTGGCTGCTGATAGTCTTACCTGATGTTAACTAAATGGTTAGTCAGTTTGGCTGCTGATAGTCTTACCTGATGTTAACTAAATGGTTAGTCAGTTTGGCTGCTGATAGTCTTACCTGATGATAACTAAATGGTTAGTCAGTTTGGCTGCTGATAGTCTTACCTGATGTTAACTAAATGGTTAGTCAGTTTGGCTGCTGATAGTCTTACCTGATGTTAACTAAATGGTTAGTCAGCTTGGCTGCTGATAGTCTTACCTGATGTTAACTAAATGGTTAGTCAGCTTGGCTGCTGATAGTCTTACCTGATGTTAACTAAATGGTTAGTCAGTTTGGCTGCTGATAGTCTTACCTGATGTTAACTAAATGGTTAGTCAGTTTGGCTGCTGATAGTCTTACCTGATGTTAACTAAATGGTTAGTCAGCTTGGCTGCTGATAGTCTTACCTGATGTTAACTAAATGGTTAGTCAGTTTGGCTGCTGATAGTCTTACCTGATGTTAACTAAATGGTTAGTCAGTTTGGCTGCTGATAGTCTTACCTGATGTTAACTAAATGGTTAGTCAGTTTGGCTGCTGATAGTCTTACCTGATGTTAACTAAATGGTTAGTCAGTTTGGCTGCTGATAGTCTTACCTGATGTTAACTAAATGGTTAGTCAGCTTGGCTGCTGATAGTCTTACCTGATGTTAACTAAATGGTTAGTCAGTTTGGCTGCTGATAGTCTTACCTGATGTTAACTAAATGGTTAGTCAGTTTGGCTGCTGATAGTCTTACCTGATGATAACTAAATGGTTAGTCAGTTTGGCTGCTGATAGTCTTACCTGATGTTAACTAAATGGTTAGTCAGTTTGGCTGCTGATAGTCTTACCTGATGTTAACTAAATGGTTAGTTAGTTTGGCTGCTGATAGTCTTACCTGATGTTAACTAAATGGTTAGTCAGTTTGGCTGCTGATAGTCTTACCTGATGTTAACTAAATGGTTAGTTAGTTTGGCTGCTGATAGTCTTACCTGATGTTAACTAAATGGTTAGTCAGTTTGGCTGCTGATAGTCTTACCTGATGTTAACTAAATGGTTAGTTAGTTTGGCTGCTGATAGTCTTACCTGATGTTAACTAAATGGTTAGTCAGTTTGGCTGCTGATAGTCTTACCTGATGTTAACTAAATGGTTAGTTAGTTTGGCTGCTGATAGTCTTACCTGATGTTAACTAAATGGTTAGTTAGTTTGGCTGCTGATAGTCTTACCTGATGTTAACTAAATGATTAGACAGTTTGGCTGCTGATAGTCTTACCTGATGTTAACTAAATGGTTAGTTAGTTTGGCTGCTGATAGTCTTACCTGATGTTAACTAAATGGTTAGTTAGTTTGGCTGCTGATAGTCTTACCTGATGTTAACTAAATGGTTAGTCAGTTTGGCTGCTGATAGTCTTACCTGATGTTAACTAAATGGTTAGTTAGTTTGGCTGCTGATAGTCTTACCTGATGTTAACTAAATGGTTAGTCAGTTTGGCTGCTGATAGTCTTACCTGATGTTAACTAAATGGTTAGTTAGTTTGGCTGCTGATAGTCTTACCTGATGTTAACTAAATGGTTAGACAGTTTGGCTGCTGACTCCTTGTGTTCACTGTCTGTACTTGTGTACCTCAAAGCTGTGAATGTAACAACAGAAAGTGCTGATGAACCAAATCAACAGCACTACAAGCATGATATGTCACATGCTATAGTGGATGCCCCTTCAGTAGATGTTTTTTTTTGTCTTCTCAAGTAATGATACTTTATTAGTTTTTACTAGGCTGTAAAATAGTGTTCCAGTGATTTCTTTTTCTTTCTTGTCTTTTCTTTTCAAATGACAGATACAGTCATTTTCATTGTGAGTTCTAACTGACAGTTTCACCATTTCAGCAAAATTATTTGCACAAACTGTCATTGAGTTATCAAACAACACCTCAAGTAAATAATAACTTGTTATATAATACTTGCATTACTCTTGATAAAGGAATCTGAGGCATAATATGCAATTTAAGACTGACAATGTCCCACCACATTTCCTGTCTAAATCTGACCTCAGCTACATGCGGTGAACGCTTTATTTCTCAGTAATCAAGCTGAAGAACTGGGTTTAGATCCCTAGCAGATAATACAGGAAAAAATATTCAACAGAATGAGCTCACTCTCCTACTGTAAGTGCTGAAGATGGTAATTCTGGATAAGAAGGCTCTTCTCAGACAATGGTAAACAATGTGAGGTTCTGTTAACATTCTGATGATGTTAATAATCTCTTGGCAGGTGAAAATCATAAAATACAGACCATTTACATCATGTTTATGGCAAAACATGTATAATCAGAAAACAACAATACCACAATATTTATAGCAGATGTAAACACAGCAAATGTTGTGCTAAAGCTAGATATTCAACCAGAAATGTAGAGATGCAACACAACTATTTTTATTTTCAGGATAAACAACGATGAACAAGAAGATTTATTACTTTTAGACATTTCACAGATGTATATATATCACTTTCACAGTGCTTAGGATTCACTTGGTCCAGTATTTAAGGGAGGACATAATTAGCTGTATCCAATTTCGTCCTTTTTAGGACTAAATTTTTTGTCATTTGAAGCCCTACTCTGGCTTTTGCCAGGGGCCGCTATATAGGCAGGCCATACATATGGCCAGATGTCTGAACGCGGTTTCTGGGACCTCTCCACAGCGATCCTCATCCGCATGGTGGCACTTTGTGTCATCGGGTGTTTATCGCTTGTGTGATGTCCTGGTGGGGTAGAAAGTCAGTCAGTCACAGAACTAAAATGCACTGAAACAGTAATTTTGCTTGCCAACAGTCTGATTCTCTTAACAAGCAACATGTTGACAATCAAATCTAAAACATACCCATTGAATAGATATTGTCAAAGATTTGGTGCATCCTGATAATTTCATAATAAAGCTCATCATAGCTGGTGGGGTTTGGTAGGAAGGTGTCGCCATATGTCACAAACAGATTGAAGATGTTCACCACCTGTGGATGACACCAGGAAATCAGAATAATGTTAACCTTTCAAAGCCATATATTACGGTGTGTTCCTTTATACTAGTATCAAGACAGTGGTCACCTTTCATAATCAGCTTATTTCTGTTTGATTCTCCAATGATACGGAAATGTTCACTCAAATTTTATGTTTAAATTCAGTGGTCACCTTTCAAAGCTAGCTTATTTTGTTTACATTTTTCAAGTTGTAATGAAATGTTAACCTTTCATAGCTAGCTTATTTTATTTACATAGTTCAAGTTGTAAGGAAATGTTCACCTTTCCTAGCTAGCTTATTTGGTTTACATGCTTTAATTCATAATGAAATGTTCACCTTTCATAGCTACCTTATTTGGCTTACATTTTTCAAGTCATTTTGAAATGTTCATCTTTCCCTGCCAGCTTATTTGGTTTACTGTTTCAAGCCATAAGGAAATGTTCACCTTTCATACCTATCTTATTTTAGTGTCACTTCCAGTTTCTATAATAACAATGTACACCTTATATAGCTCAATTATTTTATTTCCACTTTCAAATACTATAATGGCGATGTACACCTGAACTAATGAATGCAAGTAAAACTGACTAGGAAAATCACAAACAACCAACAAATGCTGGACCTGGTTTGTGATGTCCTATAAAGGATATGAAATTAGCTGTGGAGATACAGAACAGCAACCCACTTTCAGTGATCCCATGTGAACTCAGCACATAAATACAGGACAGAATGTAATGGAAGGATAAACTGCAAACTCCATGTGATACTCCATGTGATATACGATGGTACAACACAATTATAAAGATGATTGGCATGGATGCCTGGGTGTTACCACAGCTCAGAAGAGCAACAAAAGAACACTAGCCAGCATGCGTGCTGTGAGCAATAACTGAGGGTCAGTTTAGCCACTTCATCCTTTAGACAAGTTTAGCCGCACAATCAAACCCACCATGAACAAGTCCATTACCGTAACAGAGGACCAAGGTTCCATCGGCAGAGAGGTAGAAGCAGAATCAGAAGAATGACATGAGTGGCAACATGAGAATATGTTCCTACCTTGGAAGCTAAATGAAAGATGTTGTATTTCTTCACCAGCTGCGACTCATGGGACTGGAGGAACTTGAGTAGATGTATCAATGCTGGATAAATATATGAAAGCAGCTCAATACAAATTACCACAATTTAATGAACAACAAAGCAACACAATTCTAAACATATAAATAACATTGCCAATCAATGGAAAATTATGAGACACAAACATGAAAAGATCAATAATGGTTAGGTTGTGCAGTATGTCCACAGACGAAAATGGTGTATGCTGATCAGGTAAAGAGTACAAACTATGGATATGATACACACACAAAACAGCTGAACAAACAATGCACGACTGAGTACTGGTCAGCTCACTGGCTTGTCAACAAAGACTGGATTTCATTTTCAAAGATTTAAAGCAATGTTTTCAACTTTGTATTGCCTGCCCAATTTAGCTGCAGCTCATCGGGTGCATTCTACAGTAACAATTTATTAAAATGAAGCAAGTAATCGAATCCTTCTGAATGAAACACAAAAGGGACTACATTAAAAGGTAACTAACTGCCTATTTTACCAGAGAAAATGCAAGGTCACGGCTATGTAGTTTTGTCGTATGGATTGTTCAAACTCAAATGCAAAATCGCAGTACAGAAGTGCTGGTTAGTTTCATAAAGAATGCCTCACAATTGGAATATTTCCTCACTGTCATTTCAGATCACATTAAGCTGAGAAAATCTGGTAAGGTAAACAAGAATAGTGCCTTTCTGAACACCTCAAACAACCATAGAATGCTTAGATATATGGAAGCAATGATAATAAACTGGTTCGGTCTAGATTTATGCAGACAAAAGGACATAGTGGTGACCTTACATTTGCCCTCGGGGAAAAAAAAAGACAATAACTTTGGAGTTTGTGTTTTGGTTAGAATAATTTGTTTATTTGCTTCATTTTAATCAACTGTTACTGTAGTATGCACCTGAAGAGATCCAACAAAATAAAGCAGGCAGTAAACTGTGCAGTCTATTATTTGTGACTTCTTAGTGTCAAAATGTGTTTCTAACTAGTATACCTCTGAGGGTGACCAAGCCTTATAAAACAGGCATCAGAGTCTTCCCAGAGGCAGTAACAGTAGTCAAAATGGTAGTGCATATCAGTCACCAAACACTCAATATCTTTAATGCGCATGAGTTACTGTGGTTGCACTTGTTTACTTCAAACATTTCAGCGAAGAGTGTTTTCAAGACCTCAGCTACAAAAACCTTATAACTATGATGCCATATTCTTCAATGTTTCCAGCAGTTCCTAGTAAGCTAAGACTTGCAGATCCAGCTTATTTAACTGCCATACTGAAGAACTTATTATAAGTGATAAATATCACATTGCTTATTTTTTTTTTTTTTTTTTTTTTTGCGTGTAAATTATACCCCTTAAATTTGTTTCCCAGGAAATCTGGCCCAAGGGATCATGAAGAGCTGAAAGGACTATAGAAAAGCTCATTTTAAATTAATTCTATAGCAGATGTGTTGTGAAACACAAGCAGGTGTAAAGAGATGACATAGAACACTGGCATCACTGAAGGTTTGATTACAGATTAAACAATCGACATCGCAGAACATCCAGCCCACCCATAGATGCTCCGTCAACCATAGCAAATGTCTTAAGGTGTAGATGTTGACTGTTCCCATAGCACACTGACCACACATCATCATTCCCTTCCATCCATATGTTCATCCTTTCCAGATCCACTACTAATTCCACATTCTCACATATGTTTTTTCATCTAACCTTGTGTCTTCTATCAGTATTCCTTAATATAAATGGTCTTCAGAATACCTCCTTTGTCCTGTAGCTATCGCTGATGTAGCCAATAAATGTGCCCTTTTATTCCCTCTCACTCCTGCATTTCATGGAGAGTTAATCCATGTCAGTCCCTATAATGTTGACCTGTTGATGCTCAGTAACATGCCACATTTGTACATGTTTAACCTTTTGCATTACTGACTGTGAATCAGACACTATTGTTTTTGTTGTTATCGATCCAGCGGCACCGGAGCTTTTGCCCTCTGGCCCAGTGCCATGTAGTGGAGTTTGCATGTTTTCACAAGCTGTTCTTTTCCTCCGTACACTGTGTTCCACTTGTCTGGTCTCGGAAGGAGTAGCACTCTTTTAGTCTCTCTGAGTTTTGGGTACTTAAAGAGATGTGGGTCAACAGTTTTGTAGGGTTAGTTACATAACTGGCACTCTGGGGAGTGTTGTGGCTGTTTTCTGTATAGATGTCCACTGAGTGGAGTATGTTGTGTTCTAAGTCTGAAGATGGTGGCCTGGTCCCTTCTTGTTAGATGGTTAATGCTGTCGTTAGGATCAGGGCCAGCCATATGTCTATAAACCTCTCTTCCAGTGTCTCCCATGGCCCATCTGTTCCGCCAAGTCTTTTTGTTTATATCTCTTATAAGCGTTTTTGCTGTCTGTAGGGTTGTCACTGTAGGTGGTTGTTCTTACTTTGCCAGTCTGTCAGCTCTGTCATTACCTGGTGTGCCTGAGTGGCCTGGAATGTGTGCCTGAGTTGCCTGGAATCCACTGCATCACTTCTCTGATGTTGTATGAGGTAATGAGCTGATAAGCATCCATAAATATCTTAGCTATGTCAGTTCTGCAGCGTTCACTGCCCTCCAGACCTTTAACAGCAGACGCTGAATCGGTGAAGATGACAATATTTTGGGCCTTTGAAGGATAAACATCCATTACAGTCTTTAGAAGGTATACTGCTGTTTCCAGTGCAATTATTCTGGCTTCATAATTTGAGCAGAATTCCCCGCATACATCAAAAATCTCTTCAACAGCTCCATCAGGATAACCTATGTAGATTCCGTAATCGGCTTTATTGGTAGCTTTGAATGCAGATCCATCAGTATAAACATGGATCCATTCTTCGGGGTGAGAATCAATTTAGTCTTTGGGCTCTGCTTTCCACATTTTCATGACTCTGCTATATTGCTAGATCATCAGCATACAATGCTTTTCTGGCCTTGATTTGTTTTGGCAAGTCACTGATAAATATTAAAAACAGTGTACAGCTCAATGATAAGCCTGTGGCAAGCCCTCCTCCAAGACTTCTTTGGATGAGATTGCGTTGTGTATCTTAGTCTGGATTGTTCTATCTATCAGAAAGTATTTAACCCAGTTATGTACCTGCCATTTATTCCTATGCACATTATCTTCATCAGAAGGCTTTTTCTCCACACTATGTCCTAGGCCTGCTGTTGATTCTGAAGCCTGCCAATTCATGGTACAGAATACCAGAACTCTCGAGGAACCAATATAAGTGCCTGTTTATCATCCTTTCTGCAATTTTGCCCAAGCATGATGTTAAGAAATCGGGCGGTAGCTTTTGGGGTCATCTGGAGGCTTATTGGTTTTAAGTATTGGGACGATATATGCATTCCTCCATGCCTTCGGAAGTTAGCTTGATCAACATGTTTATTAATTAGCCTGAGAACTACTTCTCTCTCAGACACGCCAAGATGTAGCAGCATTTCGTTGTGGATCTTATCTGGACCTGGGGATTTTCTAGGTTTTAATTTCTCCAGGGCTTGTTCTAATTTGTCCATGCTAAACTCATCTTCAAAAAGGGAGTCGCTGGCTGTTGGAGTTCTCTCTTGTTTCTTCAACTGAAAGAGCCGAGTTCTATCCTGTTCTGAGATTTTACCTGCTCTGTTAACCTAGGCAAAATAATGATTGAAATGTTCTGCTTTCTTCTTGTCTTCAGTGATTGTCTTACTCCCATCTGTCAATGGTTTCAGGTTCACCCTTCTACTTTCTCCGGAGAGGTTTTTAACTTAAGTCCATGCTTTATATCCATTCTGTCTAAGGTAAAGTTGGAGCAAGTTTCTGCCCATTTATCTCTTTTTTTAGCCTTATTAACTATAAGCTTTACTCTGGCACTGCCTTATTTTATTAGATCTCTGCTTCTGGTGAACGAGCAGTTTCAAGTAATATTCTTGCTTTATTCCTTTCAGATAAAGTATTTTGAATTTCCTTATTCCAAAAAGGTTTATATGCCTTCCAGCTGCTCCTTGGGATGGCTTTCAATGCTTCTGTTAGATTTTCACAAAACTTTTCCATGCAGTTGTTGTCAGTTCTTCCCAGGAAGCAGTCAGATGTTTCCTGAAATAAGTTTCCAGTTTGCTTTTCAAAAATTCCAAGGTTCTCAGCTTGAAGCATAATTTAGCGGGGGTGCTTACAGTTGTAAGTATTGGCTTGTGGTCACTTCCTATGTCCTCCAGGACTTGGGGTTAGTTTGCATCTGCTATGTCGGATGAGCAGATGGTCAGATCAGGTCAGCTGAGAGATAGGTGGGTCCTGTGTAGCAGTGTAGGTGGAGACTCTGTGTCCTGCAGCACTAATAGGTTAGTTGTTTCACAAGTACCTTTGATGTACTTCCCTGGGCTGTTGTAGTCAGGGTAACCCCAACGTGCCGAGTGTCCCCTGAAGTCATCAACAAGAATGGTTTTATGGTACTGTGTCTTGTATAGTTCTGGTATGTAGCATGTTGTCTGAGGTGGGCTGTACACGTTGTATATCATATATTTGCTTCCACTGTACCAGATAGTTATTTTTTGCACATCCATAGAGTGAGATCCCAATAGCATTGTTCTATCTCCTCGTATGCCATTTCTGATATAGGTCACAATGCCCCGGCAGTCATTGCATTTACAGGCATAACTAGTAGTTAGGGCAACTGGATCGACACATCCTGAGTCCCTGTGCCTTCGCGATAGTTTCTGGTATTCAGCAGGGTTAGCATAATTGTTTCCACTCCTAAGACTATTCAGCACACCTCTGGCACCTTTCCCTCTCACAGGAGGCAGTACGGTGTGGTGCACAGGGTTTATTATCAAGGTTTGCTCCTATAGATCCATTGTGTTTTGCCTGGGGATTCGCACCCCCAGTTATCAGGACTACCTTCGGGAGGCTGAGACTCTTCGCCACGCACAATGGTCTTGGGTAAGAGAGGTTTTGTTATGAATCAGACACTATAATTATTCTGGTAACTATTTTTCTGCTAACCACTAAAAAGCTGCAGTGACTGCCTCCACCACCATCCTCACGATTGAAGTTGTAGATTTTTTTTAGAAGTATAATTTTGTTTTGCCACCATTTTGTATCGAGTGATGTATGTTCTAGATACCTCACTGAAGGAAAAGAGAATATCACAGAAATTAACAGACTGAGCTTGAGAATGGAAGTTGTAAAGAGACATGATCACCCACACCAGCTGACAATTCATTTAGTGATTAAGGTGATATGTTAAATGCACAGATACAGTATTCCTTCCCATAGAGATAAAAAAAACAATAGCAGCAATAAATAAAAATTACCTGTCCACAAATTTTTCCATGGGTACTGTATTCGAACCCGAAGCTTTTTCTGGTAGCAAAGAACTCGGTGAATAATGCCCAAACATCGACTGAAAATATTCACATACAGTCAAACCATAAGATACTCAGCAAGTTCAAAATTAGTTATCTGTGATGCATGTATTCTGGAATCATATCCTCTTCTTCTTCTTCTTCACACTTACCAGCTGTAAATTTCAGCGGAAATTCTGGACTTATTCTCATTTCAGAACTTGAGTTTTCTGTGCACATTCATTTTACACATATGGTTTATTAGTATGCAGACTGTTGGTTCCTCACCTCTCAGGCAGATGCACTCTAGCACTCTTTGAAGGAAACATCCATAATTAGTAGACTCTTACTACATGCTTGTTAGGGGACAGTGAGTTGATTCTTTTTTGTATCCCACAATGGGGCCCTGGAAATCATAAGGGGATGGCTTTAGATGTAAATGAAAAAGCAAGCAGAAATGGAGGAGCAGTAGTGTATACTGTGCATCCAAATAATACCAAATATACAACCAAAAAATCAATAGGAGAGCACTGTCCCAACTATGGTGCAGAAGTTCAAGCCATCAAAATAGCAGCAGAGAAACTGCTAAATATATATCATATTTCACAACCCATGGGATTCCTGACAGATGCAAGAGTGGTAGTACTTCAGGCACTCAAATCTGGAAAATTACCTGGTATAAGAACACTGCTCTCTAAACTAGGCAGCTGGTGTAAGGATACCATCCCACTGTGGAATTCACGGAAACAAAAGAGCTGATAAATTAGCTAAGGAAGGTGCAACTGAAAAACAACCTGACATAACAGTCTTTTATACATAGAATAAGAGAATAATCAAATTAATCAGAAAGCCACTGAAACCGACACAACACGATGACCATATAATAGAGACATAAGTGCAAGTTATAATTCTATGCCTTAGAACAGGACACAATCGACTTTGCAGTCACATGTACACAAAATTTAAGACTGGCGAATCAGCCATGTGCACTTATACCTGAGGCAACGGATTACGCCCTCCAAGGCAAAACTTTTGGCCAAGAGAAACATCAGTGCAAGCTGAGACAACAATTCAGATATCTCAGATACAAAGTGAGTGAAAGAAAAATAAGAAATGTAAATGAAAACCTTCTTTTTTTTTCAGAAACTGATTTTTAATAACTGACAGCAAAATCATCATCATCCACCACAATATCCACAAAGAAGGTTGGCTGTAATTAGTCTTCAACAGCTTCTATCCTGAAGACTTTGTAGCCCATCCTGATGTTAGCTGCCCACATGTAATGGTGTCTTTATATTGCAGGCTTGCCCTTCTCTCTTCCCTCCAGCATTTCCCGCAGACATAGGGCTATATTTCTTCATATGTTTGACAAAGCAACTGTCTAATTATGACTTCATCAGTTATTTTATCTTTGGTCCTAACAACAAGATTATAAGGAATTATGATAATAGTTGATATGATAAGGAGAATGGCTGCATACAAAACAGAAACAGGCAGTGTGAGGAAAAAAGAAATTAGAACTACTGAAGCAATAAACATTTTTTAATTCAGTGAGAAAGAAGGTCTAAAATGGTTCTGCCACCTAGTGAGAATTAATCAAACTATGCCATCACTGAGAGTGTAAAACATGAAAATGGAAACACCAAGAGGCAGTGAAACCTAGAAGAAGATGGATGGAAAGGGTCACTGCCAGCCAAAAACTTCACAACATCACAGCATCCAAAGCTACTGAGCTCAGTCATCAATCATCTGTTAAACTGTGATGCTTGTCTGATATTGACAAAGATCCTGCGTTCTTGAGAAAAATTCCAGGATAAAATCTCAACAACTCTAAAATAACATCGTGATGGCATGATCAACCCATGGTCATGTAATTACAAAATAGATGACCATCACCTGAGAGCAAATTGGTCTCCTAAATTTAATTTTTAATTCTTCAGAGACGAAAAAAGATGGGGAGGTAATGAAGTGAGCTACATGCAACAGTAAAATGTTAGTTGCATATCTGTAATGATGTGAGAAACCCATGATGTTGCAAGGGATTTCCCAATGATACGGGTCAATAAGTGCTAGGGCCAGGTATCAGGGATAACCGTGCGTAGATGAAGTTTGCCAGCGAGGCGAGAAAAGTATGTTTGTTGAGAATTTTGTGGGGAGAAAGAGAAGGCTTCTTCTTTCTTTTGTCAAAATCTGCTTGTGCCGCTAGGCGTCGCAGTCTATCAGATGATCGGCAACCGAGCCAGGGCGCGCTCAGTCGCTAGCCGTGATGTTATGAAGTCTCAAGTTGTCTGTGAAATCCATCTTCTTCTTGGTCTTCCCCTGCCTCTTGTTGTTTCGATAATGCTCTTGATGCTGGCATCGTTGGTTCCATTCTCATTAGGTGACGCTTCTCAATAAATTTAACGATGGGTATGGTTCCAATAGTTGCACATCGTTTCTCACTCGATCTCTTCTGGTTTTATTCGCAGCCAAAAGTGGTTAGTCTTCTCTCGTGTTCTTTTGTTAATGTCCAAGTCTGACATTGATAACCTAATGTCGGTATAAAAGATTGTATTTATAATTTGTCTTTTTATCTCAGCTGGACAGCAGGGTGTTTTAAAATTGGGGCAAGCTGGTATGCGACATTGTTTGCTTGTTGGATTCTTGCTTCGATCTCTCTGTCTATTTTACCATTGGATGTAAAGATACTTCCCAGTATTTAAATTCTTGCACTTGTTTTAGACTGTGATCTAGAATCTTTATGTCGATGGTCTGTTGCTCTCTACTTATGCTCATGAGTCTTTTCAGTATTGATCTTCATATGATGCTTGAAACTGTCGGGAGCTGTTTACTATCACTGTGAAATATGCATTGATCGTCGGCAAAGAGCAGCTCAAGAAGAGAAGGCTTGAACAAGCAAATAAACTTTATCTTTAAAGAGTCACAAATTGGGCACCCAAGCCCATCTTACATTCGGCCCTTCCAAATGCCCACCCTTCACAAGGCAGTTGTATTTTATCAATAAAGCATGTTCTGATGATGTAATAGTATGCGTATTATGAACAGCAAGAAAAAACACAAAAACATGGGTGGTAAAATGCATGTGCATACATACTCACATGCACACACACACACATGCAAATACCCACTCATTTACTTACACACACATACACACCCAAATGGATACATACATGCATGCACACATACACACACACACACTCGTACATACATGTATGCATACGTACGTACGTACGTACAGGCATCAGTGCCAAACACACATGCACACCAAGACACACAAGTAGACACACTAGACACACACACATACACACACAGAAACAAAAAAGGCTGGCACAGACAAACACACACACACACACAGAAACATTGACACACATGGACAGACACATACACAGAGACATACAGGCAGACACACACAGACACACATATTAAGACTGATAAAGACACACACAAATACACAAACACTCACACAGTCACATTGACATAACATAGACACACACATAGAAACACACATACAAACACACCGACATACACACAGACACACATTCGCAGACGTACACACACAGACACACATACAAACCCACAGACATACACACACATGCAGACTCACACAGACATACACAGACATACACATACATGCACAGGCCCACACACACAAGTTGAGTTGAGCTAAGTCAAGAATTGAGATCACAGCACTCTGGGCATTTTCATATGTGCTTCATCCCCATCCTCAGCTGCCAGTGCAGAGTTCCAATACTAATGGTGTCGGTCGTAGTCTGGTTGTATGTCTGTCTTGCCTTTCCTCTGAGCGTAGTGTGCCGGCCAAACCCTCTGGTCACACCCAGATGCATCATTCTCTCCGGCCCATAATAATCTAGTAATCTTCGTTACTTGTTCCCAAAGGGCTATGACCACATCTTGTCATGTATCAATTCACCACCTAGTGGTGCATATCCAGCCAATCTGTCTGTTCATTCCCCACCAAGCCGGCATTATCTGGAGAAAAGATCCAAAATATGCTCACTACCTGTGACCTTGCTAGTGAAGCTTGCCACTTTGCTCGATGCAGTTCTGTCTTCATCTTTTCAGCATGCTTTCAGAGTCCGTTACAATTACAACATGTTCTCTAGCTACCTGCAAACTGTAGTGACCGCCTCCACCTTCATTCTCAAGCTAGATGTTGATATGCCAGGCTTTCCTGCACTAAAGATTTTCCAATGGGTTTCGCTATGAAACCCCAGGCACTGTGTAGATAATCAGATCATCAGGACAAGAACTGTCTTGACGTCCACCTCAAATAGACAGCAAAGTAAAGGACCCTTTTCCATACCTTTGGGCCTGGGCTAGACCCATATTTTATTGACCAGTCGGCACTGGGTGGGTGATGTGGTCAGCATCATGCCGGCCGCTTTTACTTCCAAGAACTGCCCTTGTGAACGTAGTATACCCATGATTTCGTTTACAACTAACTCACTGGGGTATCAACTATGACCTTCTGGGATGCAAAGAGTTTATGTAGTTTGATTCTGTTTTGTTTTCATTTAAAAATACAATTTACATGGAAATATTTAAAAAAAAAAATTTCAATAATTTTCAAAAGATTAAACTTAAGAACTAACTACATTAGCAAGACTAGACAAACAGATGGTAAACAGCTGGATGCTTACACATAAAGTTCCATAGGAAAAGTTTTCATTAAATGACTCAGAATAAACTCAACCATCAGATCTGAAATAGATCAGGTTAAAATATGTAAATATAGTTCACAATATGAATTCATGAATATATAATAAATAGCTCTAAAACAAAACTATATAATGAATAGTTCTTGAGGTTTGAGTTATTCAACATTAAACTTCCTTAATACATCTGATGTTATCAGGGTACCCAAGTATTTAAACATGTCAACTTGCTTGAGGTTTGTCCCATTTACTTTAAAGTTGCATTTTGGAGGGTCAGTTTTCTTTGTAATTACCATTATTTCTGTTTTTCTGCTGTTCAAACTAAGACCCTTGTTTTCACTTTCCTTTACAATTATATCCATTAACGTTTAGTGGTTGTAAACTCCAGCGGAAATGTCTGGTTGTTTGTCCACTTCTGAACTTTAATCTTGCTCCAGAAATTGAGTTTTTTCCACTCACGCCTGTTTTTTTAGACCTGGCTTATTTGTATGCAGATTGTTGGTTCCTTGCCACTCAGGCCAATGCAATCTGATAGTAATCAGGCTCTGATGTCAATATCCTAAACTGGTTCAGATATGAATAAGTAACAGAGGAAGAAGGTAAGGAAAAGAGGAACAGAATGAGAAGAATTAACAAGCAAAAACTAAAAGAAAGCCTGACAGAATAGCTCTAAAGTAAACATGTGATGGCTACAGGAACTATCAAAGAGCAAAACAGAGAACACATCACCATAGTAAAGTGGTTGAGCTGTTAGCCTCATACTCTGAAGGTTGTTTGTTTGATCTGAGACTTGAGTCTTCAGTTGGCAAGTACAGACTTTTTAATAGACCTCTGGGAATCATTAATGGAGCTATCAGGTTTGCGCTTTGTGCAAACGTCTCATGGGCGACCAGTCACTCTGTAGACAGAGACTAATCCATAGGAAATCAAAGTTGGCACAACAAAGGCAATCCTCTTTCCTTTAACCAGCTTTTAAAGGACCCTTTTCACAACAGTGGCACATCAGCTGTTTGATGCTAGCCTCATATCTGAAGAAGCCAAATGGTACTTGAGGAATGGTATGGTCAACATCCTACAGGCTACCTTTACTTCCCAGGACATTCTCTGGTGCCTAATTTAGACTGGGTCAACCTGGGAGCCTAGGTCATCTTCTTTTAGTTGTGTTCTTGCTTGGGAAGACTGCTAAATGAGCATGAGATGCCCAGAATATTACCAAATCATATCTTACCTAGGAGAGAACAAACCAGTGGGCGAGATGGTGGGCTGGTTTCTGTCCTAGCCTTTCTGTGTCTCATGGGCTGTGAGGTGTAAACAGAATAATTGTGTTCGCTAATGGCATAAAACAGCGGTAGAAAAAAAAAGGTTATCTTTACTACAAACTGTCGGCGTCTGTGGCTAAGGCGTTGGGAAACGCTTTGTAATGCCGGTGTGCCGGGTTAGATCCCAGGTGCGGACCTTGCACCTTGCATTGGTTTCAACAGTGATATTGAGAAGCTGACCGTAAAGAAAGCAATGGCAAACTACTGTGTGTAAATTTGCCTATAAAAACCACAACAGCCAAAAATGCTGGGGTTGGTTCTGCAATGTCCTGATAAGGATATGCAACAAACATTTTTTTTAACTATAAACTAGGGTTATATATAGTAAAACAGTATGCTGCGGCAGACTGTGTGTGATAGTGATTATATTATGTAATCTGAAAGTGGGATTTGTTTATTTTATTTTTTTCTTCAAAAGAATACCTATCTTCCAAACAAATATACTAAAAACCAACAAGAACATTAGAGAACAGTTCATCATGTCTGTAAAATACAAGAAATTTATTAACTGTAAGCAAGCCACGATTAGGACGTTCAACGAAGGGGGAAAACTAAACCGTAAAAAGGCACAGAAACAACTGAACATTTCGAGAATAGACTTCATCAATAAGCATCACAACGAGATGAAGAATCGTAAAGACCAGCCAAGAGAGTCAAGTGAATAATTATGTCATTCTTTTTTACTGTTCATCCAAGTGATGTAAATATGTTGTGCTGGTTTACAGCATAGCTGTGATATCTGCACTTTTTGGCCAAAACATCTTAGGCCATTTGTTATGTTGGTGATCCTTCAGGGTTAGTTCTGTAGGACATTAATAGCCTAGAGAGCACATCCAGGGCAGCCACATGCGCTGGTCAACACTCAAGGGAAGGTAGAGGCAGAGCATGGGCATTATCTGCCTTCCAAGGAGGTTTCAATAAATGCAGAGCCAACACATGACACTCCGGTACTGGGCTCACCCAAAAAATAACATTCTGCTCATGACTACGTAATGTCACCATTGCATATTCAAGTTGGAAATCCTGTGACATCAGCATGTTGAATGGGGTCTCAAAGGTGACAGGTCACAGGTGAAAGGCCAGTTAGGAAACTGTTACCCAACAGCAGAATGTTCACGAGAAAGCATGGCAATACAAGTAACTGTGAATCTAAGTGTGAGACAGTCGGAGGGAAGAGGCCCGTTTAAGATGTGCAAGAAACTGACACAGAAGACCTGTGTGAACTTGCGTGGTCGGCGTTGTCAGACTAGACCTGGTGACAAATGGCTGACAAGACCAGAGAATGCTATTGATTATTTGAGCGAAAAGAGAATACTGACTGTGAGTCACAGATAGTAAGGGCGAATGAATGTCGTCTACATGTTGAAAAAAGATCAAGTGATCTGTCTACCTGACTGACTCTGTGTGGCTAGAAAGATGTATCTGATGGAGAATCAATCCCTAGACAACTTAGCGATAACAAGACAAGGACTAACTAATTGATGGAATGGCAATAAATAGTGATCTGTGAAACTGTGCTTCCGCCTTGTGCGTTGTCACTATTGAGCTGAGCCAAGGTCCCAGGATACTGCAATGCTCTAAACGAGATGACAGGAGTACCAGTGCAGTGGGCTGCAACTTTTAGGAATCCCAAGATTCACATTCCCTGCACAGATGTCACAGATGTGCATCTCACTTCCTCATCATGTTAGATTTCTCTCTCTAACCTTTACCGTCACACAGTGGGACACTTGATAGACGGACATTTGAACTTAAGCAGCCATACAGAAGAAGTCTGTGTCAAAAGAAATCTGAACCAAGGTTTGTCGCATGGAAGGATTTTTGAGAGACAGCTATGTCTGAAGCTGAGGGTACTCAGCCAGCAGACTAACCCATGTTCCACATACGTTTTACATGTACGTTATCACCCATGCACAGGAGATGGGCTGATTTCTGGGCACTGTATCTCTGGGGACCACCAACTCTGAGAACCCCTGCCAGCTCGGTTTAGGCCATTATCCCTACACAAGAAATTAAACACTAATACACGTAAAAGCTGAAAGTAAATGTGACATACCAGCTTGTGTAGGTGGACTCTGAAAGCCATGTTAGCATCATGCATTATTGAATTGGCATACTGATCCTGTGAACAATGAGGGAAACCTAATTACCACACTGCTGATAGTGGCAGTTAGAAACACTTACTGACAAGTCTCCAGTAAAACTATGTTGTTTTGAGTTTACAATTGACATTACAGCCGCCCTCAAGACATTCAAATCTTCAGCAGCCGTTTAAAAGTTATAATTTTAATGGTACCAGCAGCTGTCTGATTGTCTGCCTCCTTGTTATTCCTCTGTGTTGAGCGTCGGCCAGATCCCCTACTGTAATACTGCACCATTCTCTCTAGATCACAATGATCTATTTGACCAACTTTGCATCTCATAATCAGATATTGTCATGAAATCACTAAATGAATAACTATCTTCTACAGTCCCAAAAAAAGGTGAGTAACTTTCTCCCACAGTCTTTTTCCCAACTAAAAATCAGTAAGCAACAACCTCCCTCATAACCTTGTTCTGTCACAACTTAAAAGCAGATGAGTAACTACCTTTTAAACAAGACTATCTCCAGCTGATGGGCCATGCTGCTGATGTCACCAAACCGGGCTAACAATACGCTAACGCAGCGTTATTTAAACTGTTTTCAATGGGCCCAAAAAAAATTTCACTGCACACCCACCTTTAAAACAGTTTGAATACTTAAGAAAAGAAGAAAAACACAGTGCAAATTTAATGTCAAGCAGATTTGGAAAAATTCTTGATTAATGCCACAGCACCCCTGACATACGCCAGTTTGAGAAGCGCTGCGTTAACATATCATTAGCCCACTTTGGTGATGTCAGCAGCATGCCCTGTCAGCTGAAGCTGATCTTGTTCTAAACACCCTTGTCCTGTCCCAACTCAAAGTCAGTTAATATTTAATTTGCACACAGCACTGTCCTGTCCCAACTCAAAGAGAGATGGGTAACTGCGTCACACACATCTTTGTCCTGTCCCAGCTTAAAGACAGATGGGTAACTGCCTCACACACAGCTTTGTCCTGTCCCAACTCAAAGACAGATGGGTAACTGCCTCACACACAGCTTTGTCCTGTCCCAACTCAAAGACAGGTGACTAACTGCCTCTCAGACTACTTTGTCCTTTCCCAACTCAAAGACAGGTGACTAACTGCCTCTCAGACTACTTTGTCCTTTCCCAACTCAAAGACAGGTGACTAACTGCCTCTCAGACTACTTTGTCCTGTCCCAACTCAAAGACAGGTGACAAACTGCCTCTCAGACTACTTTGTCCTTTCCCAACTCAAAGACAGGTAACTAACTGCCTCTCAGACTACTTTGTCCTGTCCCAACTCAAAAACAGGTGACAATCTGCCTCTCAGACTACTTTGTCCTTTCCCAACTCAAAGACAGGTAACTAACTGCCTCTCAGACTACTTTGTCCTGTCCCAACTCAAAAACAGGTGACTAACTGCCTCTCAGACTGCTTTGTCCTATCCCAACTCAAAGACAGATGACTAACTGCCTCTCAGACTACTTTGTCCTGTCAACATCACGCCGTAGATGCAATGTAGCTTGTATCCAATCAGCCACTTTACCTGTAAGTACATTTTCTGGGTTGTGGCATACAAGAGATATAAAGCTTGGGATAGGTTACTTGACCAAATAGAACTTGATGAGGAATTGGAATGATGTCAGCCACCAAACCTCCACCATTTTCTGCTAACCATTTTATGAATGATACAGGGGCAACTCCTTAGCTGTGATGGAAGATTTTATCACTGACCCAATATGTTAATAAGTCTCTAATAGACAAGTCTGCAACAAAAACACATCAGCTGTAACAAAATAAAAACCAGAAATAATAGACAATTTTCTGTTCTTACAACTGTAATAAGACAAGCACAAAACATACTGACTAAATGTACAAGAGCATACCTCAGCAATACAAGTAAGAATTATGAGACATAACTTGGCATTGTTGTATCTGGTAGAATCTGAAATATAATGAGGACACAATATTAATTCCACCCTTCATACTATTTTCACTCTTTCTTTCAATCTCAATGTTAGCTCTCAACATACTAGGTGGCTGTATAATGAGTAGTGATCAGCTATATCAACTACCATGTTTAATTTTCAATAATTTCATTTATTATCTAACCCTATTTACAAGGCTAGACCAACCTGTGGATATATGCAACCAGCGCTGTCTTTGTGAATATTATGAGGAACCAATCTCTTTCACAATGGACTTTCTCAATCTCTTCTACAATGGACTCTCTCAATCTCTTCCACAATGGACTCTCCCAATCTTTTCCACAATGGACTTTCCCAATCTCTTCCACAATGGACTCTCCCAATCTCTTCCACAATGGACTCTCCCAATCTCTTCCACAATGGATTCTCCCAATATCTTCCACAATGGACTCCCTTAATCTCTTCCACAATGGACTCTTCCAATCTCTTCCACATTGGACTTTCCCAATCTCGTCCACATTGGACTTTCTCAATCTCTTCCACAACTGACTTTCATGCAACTGTCTAAAAGCCATAAAAACAGCCTTTTTCTAAGCTGCCTGGCTGAGACAATTAAAGACTGGTACTTCAAGAACTGTAACACATTTTTCTTTTCTCTAAACCACCTTCAAAGATAAAGGCATTTAGAAAAATGGGGGGGGGGGGGGGATAATAATTTGACAGTGGACATAAAGAATCCAACCTGTCAATAATGAGGCCTTAACATCTTAAAACCAAACTACTATGCTCACAACAATGTATTCCCGTTATAAATTTAAATAATGCGGACACAAGGAATAAATTACAAAATTTATTAGCTGGTATATTTCTCTAGGTTCCATCAGGTGCATTATTTAAAATGTATAATTTCATTAGAGGTTTTATTAGGAGGGATGCTGTGGCTGTGTGCTGTGGCAAGCTGTGTGCTGTGACGTGGCTGTGTGCTGTGACGTGGCTGTGTGCTGTGACGTGGCTTTGTGCTGTGACGTGGCTGTGTGCTGTTATATGGCTGTGTGCTGTGGCAAGCTGTGTGCTGTGACGTGGCTGTGTGCTGTGACGTGACTGTGTGCTGTGATGCCACACCATCCCACCAAATTTAATCTCTCATGATATTACAAATGTGAAGTTGCCATGGTAATGATGTGGCCAATCTTAAATTCCCAGTAGAGGGATGAACAGTAACTTGACATGTGGTTTATGCATTTCAGCAAAAAGGATTCACTTTTGTGTTTTGTTATATGTTGATTTAACTCTGTAGTAAAGCACAAGATACAATTAAATATGCCAGGCAATAAATTGTGCAATGAATTGTTCATGTCCATATTTTTTTTAATAATTACTAATCATTAATAAATAAGAATGCTAAAGACAATAAAAACAATATACAAGTACAGATGTTGTGTACAACCAGTGTGAAATAAGGGAAATACAAGATTACAAATCCCTAAATAATCCCAGTATTTCATATGGAACACTGAGGGACATTTCATTTAATTTTTTTGGCACAGAAATGGAGCAAGCATGGGGTGATTGCAGTGAAGTTGAAACCTCGACTTAGACTAAGACTATCCTTTAATAAGTGTTGAGTGAAACTAAGCCCCTGTGGGTTTGTCTGGTGTACAGAAACATGGTTTTGTTAACCACAGAAAATCTAACTAAAGCAACCATTTCAATAAAAAATAATTACCCTTTGTTTCTTGAGTGACAATGGAACTGTACTGTAGGAAAGTGACAACCAGATTTGTTGGCTGTGGAACATTGTTGGCGGGTACAAAAGTTGGACTGGCTGATCTTTCTTGTGTGGGGCTGGGTGTTGTGGAACCTACAAGATTATAGTTAAGTCAGTTGTGTATCCTTTACAGCACACTGCAGAACCAACCCAAGAATTTTTTTTGGGCTGTGGTTTTTCTAGGCAAATTTTCAGTTCAGTGGTTTGCCATTGCTACTGAACGGTCAGCTCTCGGTACCACTGTCGAAACCAATGCAAGACAAATCGTCCACAGTTTAGATCGAACCCGGAAGCCTTGGCCGTTACAAAGTGCATTTCCAACACCCAAGCCACAGATACCGACACAAGATTATAGTATAGAATATTAACTATTAAAATACCATTGGATTAAACCAAAGCTTCCAAATGCCATAAGACCAATTTATTTTTGTAAAGAAGGAGAATTTAAATTTTACAAGACAGTAAAAATGCTTTTCCTACATGAAATGGTTTATTTTTAACTTTTTTATATAAATAATTCCCCATCATCACCAGTGCAGTCATCAGACTTGCAAATTCTATAGCTGCCTAACTTGATGAGGGATTTACAGCTCTATAATATCATTTCCATGGAGATGGTACACAGGTATCAGGTCAGAAAAAGTCTCTACATCAGCCTTGCTGTCATAAATGCAAGCTCTTTTTGGGTTCAAATGACCACATTCTCCTGCCAATTTCCATCGTATATTCTCTCTAGGCCATGTTAATCTATTTTTTTTTTCTTCTGCACTATTTATGTGTCGGCTCTGTGGCTAAGTCGATGTGAACGCTTCGCTTCGAAATGCCGGGATGCCCGGTTCGATCCCAGTTGAGGGCAATGCGCCTTGTGTTGGTTTCGACAGTGGTATCAAGAAAGCTGACCGTCCAGAAAGCAATGGCAAACTACTGGACGTAAATTTGCCAAGAGAAACCACACAATAGCCAGGGGCTGTTAGGGTTGGTTCTGCAACGTCCTGTAAAGGATAAGCAACTAACTTACTATTTATGTGCTCCCAGTGGGCATTTACCACATCTGCTCAGTCATGCATCGATGCACCACCCAGCGATGTAGAACCACATGTCTGTGTGCTAGTTCATTCCAAAACACACTAGAGAAAACACTGAAAATATATTCACCACACTCAACCTCCCACACAATATATGCAACTCTGCAAGAAGCACACTTGTCTTTACAGTTTTGCAGCATGCTTTGTTTCAAGCTTATTTAAACACATGATTCAAAAAATGTGTATGTCAATACTTCAGGTGACATATAACCAATGGATACTTCAGTAGACATATATCATGATGGTTGATGACTCCATGCCAAATGATATTCAGAAGGCTTCATTCAGCTCCATACACATTCTATTTTAGCACACAGAAAACCTTCTACCTTCTAGGAGACAACAAGAGATTTAAACTGAAAAGAGATAACCCTTGGATGGCACACATAGAAGTCACTATCAGAAATTTTTGTGCTTTTGACAAGATAAGGCATAGTGAGGCACGGGCTAGTTCCGCCCAGGAAAACAGCCCTAAAACAGAGTGACAATCACACTGGAGCAAGGATATCGGGAATAGGTAGCTGGTGAAAAAAGAAAGCACCATGCAACAGCTGATTAGCGCTTAATCACACCAAGCTGACATTCTTTTATACAGAGATGGATCTTAAGTAAGAGGTACAAAGAGTCAGTGCTGTTTTATTGCACACAAAAAATAGGTACTGTTTAAAAACAGAGAACCTCAAGTATAACATTACAACATCCAGTATAAGAATGGAGGTGGTGGCAGTAATGTCAGCCATTTGATGGCTTGAGAGCAGCACATCCTGAAATGTTGTAATTGGTAATGGGCTTAAAGAGCATGCTTTAGAAAACAGAAACTGACATCATACACATAGAGTGACTTGCATTGCTTGATAAGACTCAGATCACAGATGTTCTGTGCAGGATATTCTGGTGTGCAGGGCAATGAAGTGGCTGACAGACTGGCTGCTCTGGGCGGTAAGCTTACCTTATGTTAAAGTGGATTTATGTATGTGGTCTGAGATCAAATGGACAGTGCAACTTTTTAATCAGTCAACTGCCACTATTAGCATGGGAACGCTTCATTGGCTACTGAGGAAGGAGGTGAAGCACGTGTGGGAATGTCCCGAGTGTCTTGATGTCAATTCGTGCTTCCTCGTCCATTCATTCTATTCAACAAGCCTACACCGAACTTACCAAATCACTGCAAGAAAATACTACAAATCCATCACTTTACCTTCAAAGACAGCAGGTGGTGTAGAAATCACAGGTGACGATGGGGGAGTTGTGGCTGATGTTGGAGTGTGAGACTGAAATAAAACGGTTGGAAACCATGTGAGTCAAGACTTATGTATAATCTTAGATTAATTTGGCAAAGACATGAAGGCATTTGGAACAATTCTGAGCAGATAACTGCTTTATACATTTTAAAAAGGAAAATACTGGTTTTCAAATGCTTACTCACAAAGTGCAACTTAAAAGTACACGTTTATTTTTTTTTTTATATTTATTAACCAGTGCAGATCATTCCCACCAAGAAGCAATGCAACTTTGTAAAAATATTTAGTTTACTTCATATAAAAACCTTAAAATGCGCTAGAAATTTCAATAACCCAAGCCATTGTCTTTTAACCTGTCTATAATGTTGTTGAGGATGCCAAGAGTATAATAAAGCATTTGACATCATGGTACAGACGAACAATTAGAGTTTGAAGATGACGGCTCCACTTCTGACATGCATCAAAGAAGGGCAGCATTCTTTATCTTGTTTTTTTTTTAATCATGAGGGGTCAATTGTTAAGGTTTTTAATTGAAGCTCCCTCGTAATACAGGGAGCTGCAGTGGCTAGTATGTTTGCCTGCTGGCCTAGTGAGCATTGATTTGAATCCTTATCATGGTTATTTTTAAAAACTGACCTAGGTTTAAACAGGTATCATGAAATGTCATAGAAAGTAGAGGCAGTTAGTATGATAATGGCCATTTTACCCATCAACTGCTGTTTGGTCTATACAGAAATAGGCCTAGCCTTACATGCCCAATACCTTCCAAGGATGAAAATTGGAGCATTATATATAAAACATTCATTATTTAATGTTGAGCCGGCTTTATTACAAACTATGTTATAATTCTTCTTCATTGTTCATTTGAGTGAGTAAATGTGCTGGGCCTGTTTACAGCATAGCTGTGATATTTTCACCTTTTGGTCCACACATCTGTATTAGTTATCTGAGTTAGTCCTTCCGGGTTACTTTCATGGGACATTTGAGCCTCATATGTATGGTGACTCTATTTACCCCTCCACCCAATCCACAGTGTTGTCCCTATAGGGTACGTCCAAGGTCTCATTTGTGTGATGATTCCATCACCCCTCTGATCCAGTGTTGTCCCTAGAGAACTCATAAAAGGCCTCATAAGTGTGGTGACTACATCACCCCCAATCCACAGTTTTGTCCCTACAGGACCCGTCCAGGGCCTCATTCGTGTGATGACTCCACCACCCCCTGATTCACAGTGTTGTAACTAGAGGATCCATCCAAGGCCTCATTTGTGTGATGACTCCATCACTCCCTGATCCACAGTTTTGTCCATAGAGGACCCGTCCAGGGCCTCATTCGTGTGATGACTCCACCAGCCCCTGATCCACAGTGTTGTAACTAGAGGACCCATCAAAGGCCTCATGTGTGTGATGACTCCATCACCCCCGATCCACAGTTTTGTTGCTAGAGGGCCCGTCCTAGACCTCATATCTGTGACCCCCTGATCCACAGAGTTGTACCTAGAGGACCCGTCCAGGGCCTCATTCGTGTGATGACTCCACCACCCCCTTATTCAGTGTTGTCCCTAGGGGACCCATCCAAGGTCTCATATCTGTGATGACTATCACTCCCTAGTCCACAGTGGTATCCCTAAAAGACTCGTCCAAGGCCTCATATGCGTGGTGACTTCGTTATCCCCTGATCCACAGTGTCGTCTATACAGGACCTGTCCAAGACCTTATTTGTGTGATGACTTCATCACCCCCTGATTTAGTACTGTCCCTAGAGGGCCCGTCCAGGGTCTCATTTGTGTTAGCCGTTACAAACATAGCAGGCATGTTACATACCATCAAATTTGATTAGACGATGTAAATTACAAATGAAACATCTTAAATCTACTCACAGGAGACAGCTACACTGTTGAAGCTTAACTTATTACAAGTTCTCCCCAAGATTTGCTCAATGTGCATGTGTCATCATGGGACATGTGTATTTGTGCTGATTCTTCTTGTTATGTTATGTTGTCACAATCAAAATCTCTGCACACTAGGCTCCCCATGCGTGCCCAAACCTCTGATGCAGCAGCCCCTCAAAGGTACCTCTACTGATTGCTCCCATGAGGAGTTGGTTATAGTATCTCCTGTCTTTACCTCGAAGATGACATAGACGTGCTTGTTCTGCTATCCATGCCAGTGCTTTGGAAGTAGCAGTTATCTCCATGGCCATGCTCGACGTAGTTGTCTGTAAGCGCCGCTATCTGCTTTTATTGTTTCTCCATGCCTTGTCTGTGTATACCCATGCTGATCTTGTCCCAGGCTTCATGGACCCGTCTGTGAAAACAATTCTACTTACACTGAACCGTGTCCTTGTGCTGATGCAATGAAGCTGAGTTTTTGTATACACTGTTCTCACATAAAAGTTTGTTGCGTATCCTTTATAGGACACTGCAGAACCAACCCCAGCAATTTTTTTGCTGTAGTGGTTTTTCTAGGCAAATTTTACATTCAGGGACTTTGAGCTGAAATGCCACAGAAAGATTCTCAGAATATCTTGGACGAAATAAATGAGAAATACTGACATCTTGAAAGACCTGAACATCAAGGAAAAGTTGCTAATAAACAGCATCCTGTCTCGGAAGCTGAAATATTTTGGTCATATCAAGCACAACGAGGTATTAGAAAAAATTATAGCAGAAGGCATGGTACCAGGAAGGAGGGGCAGGGACCGACTAACACGAAGATGGGCACAGGATATAAGTGACTGCTTGAGTATGAAAGTGCACAAGGTGGGAGAGCTGGTGAGAGACGGCGTTTCTTTCAGGCAGACTCTGATGAGAGTGACGTTCTGCAAAGGACCTGCTACATGATGATGATGAGTTTGCCACTGGTTTTTGAATGATCAGCTCCAGGTGGACAAACAGCCCACAGCTGGGATCGAACCCGGCACCCCGATACTACGAAGCACAGACACAACACCTAAGCTACAGGCGCTGATGCCGTTCTCATAAAAACAAATAATTTCACAGTCATGTCTCACAACTAATGCCAAGCACAACTGCCAGAACTGCTATATCCTGTTTTTAGACTAGTCAACTTATTATCACCTGGTCAGTTTTTACCTGGAAAACCAAACACTGAATTGTTTTCAGTTGTGCTACACTGTGGTTGCTAGACCTGTCTACCAACAGTGGTCCTGCACTGATCCTCAGTGCAAGATGTGAAGGTGCATGATGGAAATGGGGTAGTTGTTTTATTTTTTGGTATGTGCCGTAGTTATAAAACCACTTTATGAAATAGTCCCACTTTATTGTTAAAGTTAAAATAATAAATATTTGCAGGAAGTTGTACATATAATTGTTATTTTGCATACAAGTTTATGTAACAAAATATTTAAAAATTACAAGCTGATCAAAGTGAAAACAAATAGCTTGGAAATAGTGACTGCCTGTGAATACTGGCCTCCTATCATTCACAAAATAAGAACCAATATTGATTCCCTCACCATCACCTACCTTGCCCATCACAAATAAAATAACTATCAAACATAAACACACCTGTTAGCCTCTATCTAAACAATGACACGAACATAAATAACTAATGTCACCAACAGATGGTGCCCGTCTCTCATTTGTACTAGGACAAACAGCAGAAAATGACACTGAGATTTCTTTTGAATGCCCTACTTACATGTGTTAGTGCTGTAATGAAGTTACGATTCAGATGAACTGCCTCATACAATGCTAAAAGAACTGAATCATTGGCTCTGAAAATAAAAATCCATAAAAGAGTACTCTGAGACACTTACTGAGATCAATATTTACCAATTGCCAAAAATAGGTGTAGACGAAGTTTCATCCAAGAGATTCTATTGTATTCCAAAGTAATTTTACAAACAAGAACTATTATCATTTAACTTTATTTCCATGCCAGCTGTCACATTAACCCAATGACTACCAAATGTAGTTGAACCCATTAGTTCATTCATTTCTCTATGTTTCGTTAAAGGAAACAACTCTATAGTACTCAGAGTTGATTTTTTCACGAATTGTATCCCTTGTTGATGATGTTAGACACCTGTTTTTATAAAGGGGTCAAATGGTCAGAGCTGTTATGGATTTGCGGTGGCAACGTTTTTTGTTAACATTTCTTTGTGCTACAGGTGATTATGATGATTTTTTTATTTAAAAGCAAATGTGAAGATATTTCTGAACAGTTTGATGACTGTGACTTTGTTAACATTTCTTTGTGCTACAGGTGATTATGATGATTTTTTTATTTAAAAGCAAATGTGAAGATATTTCTGAACAGTTTGATGACTGTGACTTTTATCATTCTTGCGAACTGTCATCAAAAACATCATCGAAACAGAAAGAAAGGCGACGTGTCGCATCACCGGTAAATGTAAAGTACAAACAACAAAATAATTTTCACCACCAGTTCAGAGAATGAAGTGTGAGAGGAACAAAAGTTATGAATTGATCATTGATGAACTCTTAACATATTATGGGAAACATTATTGATGGCTTCAGGTTTTATCCGTTTTCTGGTTCTAATCTGAATTCAAGTGCTGTATTGTGGAAGGGTTGTGAACTGTGATGATCAAACTGTCTTCTCGTTTGTCTTTCCATTTCAGTACAGCAAGGTTTCCATCCCTTCTAATGTAAACAATTTTTACAGGTCTATGCTGCAGAAATTGATTGTAGCACCTTGACTAAGAGGTGCTTGCAGAAGCCTGATGCATACATCTATTGACTCATTGATAATCTGAGTCATATTATGCATTAGAAATTATTGGTGCAGAAAGGAAACAACCACTGAAATTGCTGAATTTTATTTCACAGTTATGTGTCATTACATTTAGTCAATATTTCCGTCAAATTGAAGATTTCTCGGTTATTTTTTTATTTTTTTTTTATTGCACCGATCTCAGCCAAGCCACACGAAGACAATGAAAAGGAAGATTACGGCATTTTTGATTCTTGATATGTGTTCTTTAATCAAGTTTGCGCAAAAGTACAAAGTCTATGACCCACACTATCCTCCCAAACTTCTACAGGAATCCTGGAACCCACAGGAAGATTAATTTTTATTCAGATATAGTAATCATTCCCCATCGAGGAAATATAATTAATAAACATATTTATTTTTGAATATAAACTTCTTTCTAGAATATTCTATTGGAAATCCCCAGCATTTGTTAACCTGGTTAACCTTCCCATTATTTGATTAGCAAGTTAATCTCCTAGTATCTGTGGCCAGGTAAACCTTCCTATTATCTGCTGGCAAGGTTAACCTTCCTAGTATCTGTTGACCAGGTTAATCATCCTAGTATCTGTTGACCAGGTTAATCTTCCCAGTATTTGTTGACCAGGTTAATCTTCCCAGTATCTGTTGACCAGGTTAATCTTCCCAGTATCTGTTGACCAGGTTAATCTTCCCAGTATCTGTTGACCAGGTTAATCTTCCTAGTATTTGTTGACCAGGTTAATCTTCCTAGTATTTGTTGACCAAGTTAATCTTCCCAGTATTTGTTGACCAGGTTATCTCCAGCATTTATTGACCAAGTTAATATTCCAGCCAAATTTTGATCAGGTTAGTCATCCCAAGCAGTTTTGTAGGACACTCCACCATTTGAATGTTACATTATCAGCACCCAAACAAGCCAATATCGAACATCCACATGCTTTTCACCCTCAAGAGAAGATAGGGCCTCTTCCTTATAATGGGCACCTCATTCATCATGAACTGTATCTTTGCAGACCAGTAAACTGGGGTCTGTTGGCTTGGGACTGTCATCACTTTCTCATAATCCTTGTTTAGGTTCCTGTTCTCCATTGCTAGGAAAACAAGAATAGACCTTTTATCTCCGCATCAAGCAAATTATAGGAGTAGAATAATTGGGGGCATCCTTTAATGTCAGAGCGCATCTGCCTGAGAGGGAAAAAAACCAAAAGTCTGCATAAAAGTAACCCAGATCTGTGAAACGGATATGTACACACAACACTCAGGTTCTTGAACAAGATTAAATTCCAGAAAACTTTCTGCAGAAGTTTATAGCCGATGAACACGAAGAAGAAGACTTTCCCATAAACAGCAGAATCCTTCATATGGCATTATACTTTAGTATGGTATTATCAGGGATCTTCTTCTTCTTCTTTTCGTTTCTACGTATTAATTAATTGCGTTGTGCCTGTTTACAGCACAGCTGCAATATTTTCATTTTTGGCCACCACGCTGGACTTCATTGAGCATTTGTTGACTGGGTTAATGTCCCAGATAGTTTTCAGAGAAAATATGTAGCCTTATTTGTGTGGAATTCTCTTTGCCTCCCTATCAAAAGGTGCTGCCCCTGGAAAACCTGTCCAGGGCAACCACTTGTAAACTGGTGGGCCCATAAGGAAGGTAGGGGCAGGTCATGGCCATTCTCCGCCATTCAAGGAGGCTTCCATTAATGCAGAGCCGACACATGGCTCGCTGGTCCTGGGTTCAGCTATGGAATCTTTGCACCATGCACATGACTGCTTAAACTCACATCCACATGTTAATCTTTCCACAGGCTGTGCCATCCGGACAATAGCATGGAGCAACCGCAGGTCTGGGACTTTGATGACCACACAGTAAGTAAAGTACATTTTTCTTCAGCGAGTTAGACACCTTTTAACGCTGTTTGATCTGGACATTCGGCATGACAATATGGAAAAGGTGTGTATCCGGCTTCCCCTAGTTGGTCCCAATGCTGTGATCAGTTAGCCAGTAATAAAAGACATTTGGACTTTTCTGCCAAACAGTAGCATGATAGACAGTCAGACATTTGAAACTTTGCTGTTATGACATGTTTCTGATATGGAACGAACAGTTTATCAGCGAGCTTCACAATGTTACAAACACATACAAAAAGTGAGCGTTGCAGCTATAGAGCCTTCGTCAGCACATACATAAATCAAACAAAACCCATAAATACACAAAATCACTTAACTCACGTATCCAGATGCAATCATGCGGATGTCTTGCCAGTGCAATGAAAGACATAATGAACTGGAGAATAAATAGCCATGGAATGCCGAGGGCTGTAACTCAAGAATTTTAGATGAAATTGTGTTGACAGTTCAGTCCCGAGGGTATAAAAATTCCTAATGTGTAAATAAAGTGATTTCCAAGAGACCTGCGGACTCTGTCGCTAGAGTAACTAGATTGAATGGCTGTCACCTCATTGTCGTGGAACCCTTGGTGATCCTGTTTTTAATAACAATTTGAGCCTAATCAACTGACCAGCAGTGGACAATTTTCATGGTTTGCCTCAATACAGTGAGGATGACATTCACAATCAGCAAAGGATGTACAGAAAAATGACTGCACTGCAAGACATCTCCAGCAGGAGATGTTGCTTGACTAAGTTTCAAGCAAACCTCTTGGTCTACTGCTGAGAATCAGCAGTTCAGTAGTTCTTTCAGCAACAGACGTTTTAACCAAGGGTTGTCATTTGGTAATATATTCAACTGATGGGCTTTACTCATGCTCTCCAAATGAGTTTTCATAGACGTTTTCACCAATGAATTTGGTGGGCTGATGAGATCCCCTGCCAACTCATTTTAGGTCACAGAGGTATGCCATTATCAGTAGTGCATGATGGGGATGTGTGGCAGGAGTCTTTTGGGGTGGGCTGATGGGAGATAGAGAATTTCTGGGCACTGCATCTCTGGGGAGCAAAATTTCAACAGGCAGGCTTTGCTCATGTTCTGAGTTTTGATAGACTTTTTCACCCAGGCCATGGGGGTGGGCTGATGAGATCCCCTGTCAACTTATTTTAGGTCACAGAGGTATGCCATTATCGGTGGTGCATGATGGGGACGTGTGGCAGGAGTCTTGCATGAGGATCCATAAAACATGCACACAGCCTGCTGGTGTCTGAGGTGAGGTACGGCATATCTCCTTATAAATATCACACCGGCCTTAATTTTCCCTCATGCCTTTGACAGAAATCACTGCACCACTTATCAGGGTTCTAAAAAAAAAAGGATTCAGGTTTAAGGGTGAAATTGCAGCAGCTTTCAAAACCTACCTCATGAGCTCCATTTTCTTTTCTTCAGCCACAAACATGCTTCCAACCTAATACCAAAAACAAAACAAAAAATACTGTGTCAAGACCTATAACTCACTGCATAAACATTAGATGCCATCAAATGCTTGCTTTCAATTAACTCATAAGGTACCAAGGAACACACCATATGTAGATTTATAACTAATTTAACTGTCCTCAGGTACCAAGAGTCAAAACATTTTTCTTCTGTAAGCTTAAATATAGCAGATAATAAAACATCTGATGCACAATTTGCTGAAGCATCTTATTTCTTTTTCTGATTATAATCTCTCAATAGAGTGTTGATGCTGGCTGTCGCATGACAGTATACACACATCTACCGCCTTGAGCAGTTCCACAGTCTGAACACCCCCAGAATCGTCATTGTAACTATGATATACAATGGGCCAACCGTAGTTATCTAGTTCGTTTGTTGTGGTGGGGTCCAGATAAGAAAAATCCCTATAAATCCCTATGATATTGATTCTTTTAGGCTTTTAGTGTCGATTTACACATTAGGACACATTTTCTACGCCTATTTAAAATAAATTGTCTGGCCATTGCACTGCATACATGAGCGGGATTCTTACGCCAACTGCTGTAGTTGGGGAACGTATTTGTATGCGTCACTTCTCTATGGTCCGGTCTATGAGGCAGATGCTTTTCTGGTGTGTTGCCACTTGACC